CCCCGTGAAGTTGGGAGTTTGATCAGAATACAATATTTTCTCTGAACTACAATTTATGTTTGCAGTTTTCTTCCCAGGAATTTACTTCCCTAGTGATATCGATCTTTAGAGGCTAGTGGTTCCAAATCTTGGTTCCCCATTGAAGTACAAATTGCCTTTTCTCTATAGAAGATCAGATGTGGCAGAATAATCATTCGGAAATTCTTCGTCTTCTCAGCAGCCGATTATTGATGTGTTTTCCTAGTGCATTACTAAACATGCATCATTACATTGCATCTACTAAAACGCGTAGCATTTCCATTGTATGGAGCATTACGCTATATAAAAATTCAAACATGCATGAGCATAAGCCAATTATGTTTACTTGCTGTAACCAGATTGTTATACATCCAGATTCAAACTATATCCGCAAAAAGCCTAGGGTGATTCTATTTCGTCTCCCCAGCTAAGGCTGTTTGATCTACCACCAGTCGAGTCTTTGGTGTTTCCCATTGTCTTAGTAAGTCGTGATTCTCTTTTACCCTTGCAAGCCTTTGGTTATATATGTCCTTTCCTCCGGACATGTTCTCCCTATATTTTTGGTTATATATGTCCTTTCCTCCGGACATGTTCTCCCAATATTTTTGGTTATATGTCCTTTCCTCCGGACATATGTTTCTTAATATCCTTGGTTATACGCCCTTTCCTCTGGACGCATATTCCTGATATCCTTGGTTAGAGTCCTTTTCTCTGGTCTCTTTCCTTATTGCATATCCGCTACCGACCACAAATATGTATTTTTGATACCTGTTTCATATGTCTGCTACCAATCCCAGACATGTGTTCTTGATATCTTTGTAAGAGCTTTTTTCAGTCTGTCTCTTTCGTGTGTATCCGATACCGACCACATATATGTATTTTTGATACTTGTTTCATATGTCTGCTACCAATCCCAGACATGTGTTCTTGATATCTTTGTGAGAGCTTTCTTCGGTCTGTCTCTTTCTTGCGTATCCGATACCGACCACGGATATGTATTTTTGATACTTGTTTCATATGTCTGCTACCAATCTCATACATGTGTTCTTGATATCTTTGTGATAGCTTTCTTCGGTCTGTCTCTTTCTTGCGTATCCGATACCGACCACGTATATGTATTTTTGATACTTGTTCATATGTCTGCTACCAATCCCAGACATGTGTTCTTGATATCTTTGTGAGAGCTTTCTTCGGTCTGTCTCTTTCTTGCGTATCTGATACCGACCACAGATATGTATTTTTGATACTTGTTTCATATGTCTGCTACCAATCCCAGACATGTGTTCTTGATATCTTTGTGAGAGCTTTCTTCGGTCTGTCTATTTATTGCGTATCTGATACCGACCACGGATATGTATTTTTTATACTTGTTTCATATGTCTGTTACCAACCCCAGACATGTGTTCTGGTATCTTTGATGTCTCTTTCGTACGTATCCGATACCGACCACGGATATGTATTTTTGATATCTCTTTCTTACGTATCAGATATCGACCACGGATATGTATTTTTGATATCTCTTTCTTACGTATCCGATACCGACCACAAATATGTATTTTTGATATCTCTTTCTTACGTATCTGATACCGACCACAAATATGTATCTTTGATATCTCTTTCTTACGTATCCGATACGGACCACGGATATGTATCTTTGATATCTCTTTCTTACGTATCTGATACCGACCACAAATATGTATCTTTGATATCTCTTTCTTATGTATCCGATACCGACCACGGATATGTATCTTTGATATCTCTTTCTTACGTATCCGATACCGACCACGGATATGTATCTTTGATATATCTTTCTTACGTATCCGATACCGACCACGGATATGTATTTTTGATGTCTCTTTCTTACGTATCCGATACCGACCACGGATATGTATTTTTGATGTCTCTTTCTTGCGTATCCGATACCGATCACGGATATGTATTTTTGATGTCTATTTCTTATGTATCCGATACCGACCACAAATATGTATTTTTGATACCTGCTTCATATATCTGCTACCAATCCCAGACATGTGTTCTTGATATCTTTATGAGAGCTTTCTTCGGTCTGTCTCTTTCTTACGTATCCGATACCGACCATGGATATGTATTTTTGATACCTGTTTCATATGTATGCTACCAATCCCAGACATGTGTTCTTGATATCTTTATAAGAGCTTTCTTCAGTCAGTCTCTTTCTTACGTATCCGATACCGACCATAAATATCTATCTTTTCTATCACTTTTGTGCATATCCGATACCGACCATAAATATGTATCTTTTCTATCTCTTTTGTGCGTATCAGATACCGACCACGGATATGTATCTTTTCTATCTCTTTCTTACATATCCGATACCGACCACGGACATGTATTTTTTATGCCTTTTCCATATATCTGCTACCAACCCCAGACATGTGTTCTTGATATCTTTTCTGTCTCTTTTGTGCGTATCCGCTACTAACCCCAAATATGTATCTTTTCTATCTCTTGCATACGTATCGGCTACCGACCCTGGATATGTGTTTTTGATACCTTTTCCGTATGCCTGCTACAGACTTTAGGCATATACCTTTTGATATCTTTCTTACAGGTGTTTGTTACTAAATCCCAACAAGTGTTCCTCGATAACCAAGTTATTCTTCTGTGTGTCAAACTCTGGTTAAACATACATCTAACCCTGATAACCTCTTTTACCTAGCAAAAAAAAATATAAATAGAAAATATAGAAAACCAGAAATATAATGTATACCTGACTGGCTTCGGAGCGCAAATTTTCGGGTTCTTTTAGTATTTAATCTTCTTCCACCCTTAAAATTCGAAAGGCTGACGCTAATCTCACCTTCAGGTTGAAGGAGATTAAATAGGGGCAGCTGTTACACCCCGAAATTTGCCCTCCTAATTGCACTTTTATGCTGGCTTAGACTTTTGCATTCATCTGTATCATTCCAATGGGTCATGTGCATATCACGCATTTTTCATAAAATAGATCGCCCGAGGTTCAAAAGATCAGCAGTTAGGGAGCAAGGGTTTACAGCTGATTTGAGGTGTATGTGTTGAATAAGTTTGAGTATCCAGGGTCTTCTCGGTGTACAAGGTTTTGATAATTAAGGTTTTGGTTCAGGCTCATTTTTGGATTTCTTCTCCACCAAGTTATAGGGCTAATATCTTCTGATGAACAACTGGTTGTAGGTCATTCTGGTCAAGAACTCCAGGGCGTGACCTAACATATGTGGGCTTCGAATCACGGCGTCTCTTCATATAAGTATGCTTATCATTTGACTAGGATTAATGACTATGACATGACATTCATCTACTCTTCAGTTAATCAATTTAGGTTTTGTTGAATCATGGTTTAAAGATGTCTCATCCGGATATTCCTCCGTGCATCTAAACTAAGGAATCAAGATTGTGAGGTGTGGTTAACATGATTTCTTTCTCTTTAAGATATAATTGTTTTTATCCAGTCTTGGCAAGTGCTGGGGTTTTCATTTGCGCGACTAGGGTTTCACGTCAAGGGAATTCTTCTGTGATTCAGACTTTATCATCCATCTGTAAGATGTTCCTTATGACACTAATTTCAAGTTGAAATAACCGATCGCTAAGGGCTGGGGATTGAATTGTGAAGCGTGGTTCATGACCTAAGATATGAACTCGTGGATTTCTCCTTAACCAAGGCAATTATTGTCCTCATCATTGTCATTTGTTATCTGCGATGCGAGTAGATTTGGATTGAAGTAGGATTCTCGTGGAAGAATTCATGCAAAGTAATTCAAGGTTCAAGGCATTCAAGGCAGGGTTTTGTTCAACATGGCATACCTGGTTGATGGGCTTACAAGCTCTTATGATACCTTGAGATGCATAATCATGGGCCAAGTTCAAAGATACGTGGATAAGATCTGTTGACTTCGGTTAAAGTAAGCTTTGAACAATTAACTTTTGGACCAAGGTCTCCCTCGAACTTTCGTCTAATATGTGTTAGGCATTCAAGTTGCATTTGAAGAATGGTATGGAAAAAGGAAAAGAAATATTGGTTCAGAAAAGGAAATTTCATTAAAAATCAGGGTTTCTATTCGTTGATAAACGTTCAATCATGTGGGCTATGAAATTAGTGTTACCAAGCGATCAATTGGTATGATTTAAGATTTTGGTCCATGGATTCTCTATGGCATCAAAATTGATTCGTCAAGGATCAATACAAGGGGTGCATTAAGATTTCTTGAGGATCCATATTTCGTCAATTCAAAGAGGTGTCTTTGGCTTGGAGTGCAAGGTGTGGACAATATGAACTTCAACATTGAATCCGATTTTTCTATGAAATTCAAGCACGATGTGACATTTGATTAAGGTCCAAGTATTGATTCAAGATCTTGTTTTGAGTTATAAGGCAAGCGTCATGGTTAGTGCGAGTATTGGATTCATTTGCATTTTGATAACGTAAAGCCAAGATTTTGATTGACAATATTATTTCAAGCATGTAATTGGAGTTCAACTATAGTGGAACTATGAAAGGTGCATAACTTGATTCAAACATCATGGAATTCATCGTTCAAGTATTGATCCGAGTCCATTCAAATAATCAAACATCATTTAGGGTTCTAAACAAGGTTCTTCAAATCCCATTCAAAATACATATGAATCCATTCAAGTGCATTTCGTCACGCAAGTTCAAATACAAGTTCAAGGTGTCATGTAGCTTATTAAAAATTCATGCTTAAACCAACTTCTTATCATTCAAGACTTGAAATAGTTTAAAGATTGGAAAAGAAAAGAAGACTAGAAAGTCAAGATGTAACGAATTTGCTTACAAGGTTTATCCTATTACAATTTATAAGTACATGGTGCCATTACATGCTTGAAGTATACAAAAAGAAGTAATTACAGGGAATTTGGTTCTATGTTTCTAAGCCTAAAGCTCTAAATTCTTAATGCCAAAACTCCATGCTTCCACCGAAATGCGCGTCTACTGCTTCGTACCAGTCTTATCAGCATGCCTTGGCTTCAATGGAAGGAAGCTCGAGGGCCTGAATGTGCTCGGGCTTCTTCCTGCGACGAAATCCCGGCCCTGCATTACTAGAAAAACAATGGCCCTGCATTACCAGTTCAGCCCTGCATTACCAGTTCAGTCCTGCATTACCAGAAAAACAATGGCCCTGCATTACTAGTTCAAGCCCTGTGTTAAATTAATAAAACCAAACAGAAAAAAAAAACTAACAGAAAACTCAAACGAAATTTCTAACAGTTTCAGCCAACTTTTAATTTTCTCTTCATAACCAAATACAAAACTAACTCTCACTGTAAAACATGTTTCTAACCAAAACCAAAACAAAAGATAACTAATTCCCTTACCAGCTTAACCATAATCTACAACAACCCTCTAACTGCCAAAAAATAGAATTCTAACAGAATTTCTAAACTTGCAACATTTAACTAAATCAAAAACAGAATTTCATAAATATCAAAAGAAAACAGTCCAACTAACTACCAACCCGCAACAAAACCAACTTCTAAACTTGATTTTCTAACCAACTAAAGATAGCAGATTTTTTCTATTTTCTAACAGCTCTAACAAATTCCAACTGAATTTAACCGCATCCCCTAACAGAAAAACAAAAACAGAGTTATCTAACGTTTTTTTTCAAAACAGAAGCATAATAGAACTAGCAGCAGCCCATAACAGAATTTCAATCCAACTGACTTGTAACCGATTGGCAACTAACATTCTAACAGAAACCTAACAAACTTTTTCCATCAAACCATATATCCACAAAACTTAGAATCGATAAATCATTCATTCACTACCATATAACAGATTTGCTAACAAAAAAAGAAAAAGGGGGATTCATTCCTAAAAAAACCAAAGAAAATCAACAGAACTCACCTTGCAATTCTCTCTCCATAACCTATTCGGAACTTATATTATCAACAAAGCCTCAACACTCTCTCTTCTATCTCCAACCTTCGCACTTCGACATCATCTTTATCTTCAACCTTCTTTAACTTCCATCAACAATTTCAACACTCTCCGAGTTTTTCTACAACATCCCGTCGATCTTAATCTGAAGATTTCTCTGAAATTCATCTCTCTTCTTCCTTGACCTTCATTATCACTCATAGAGGAGAACCAGGAAAAAGAGGGATTCATTAACAGAATTAAACCAGAAGAAAACTAAAGAGAAAAATGAGAAAGCTCACCTTATGGTTCTCCCTGAAACTAGATAATTATCAGCTTCAACCCTCTTTCTTTTTCACCTCCAGTCCTCTCTCTCAGAACCTTTTCAACACCTTCAATCTCTGAACTCTCTTCCATCTTCATCATCAACAACACTCATTCTTTCATCTTCAACAATCTTCATCTCACAACCTTGACACTCCAACCCCTACATCAATCCTACATCACCTTCTGCAATCAATCTGTAACCTGTCTCTGCAAACAACAACAAATCAGCTTCATCGTCATCATTATCGTATCGTTACACAATTGCTGCACATTTTCGCAAGATTACAAAAGGAAAAAGATAACAGATAATAGAGGAGAGGGCTAACAGAAAATGAGAGAAAATGAGATGAAAGAAACTCACCATTTTTCTGAATCTTTTTCCTCTCTGACTTCATGTTCCTCCTTTCAATCTGCATCTTTGGCTGCTTCGAGGCTTCATCACATATCATCATCTTCATCATCTCCACATATTCTCCATCAAATCTTCGATTCATTTGCAATCATCATCATCGCAAATCCGCAACATTCAACATCCTTCGTTCAAACTGTGACGAATCGAAAACAACGCACATCATCACAGTGAAATGGACATCGCACAAGCGGAGAGTTCAAAGAGTAAAAGAAGAGTAGAAGAAGAGAGAATAGGAAAACATGAAGAATAAGATTCAAACAGAAACAAGAGGTTGGTGTGTAGAACTAAAACCCCGAGGAATTGGGATCAGAAGCTCACTTTGTTAAATTTAGAATGGAACACATGAAATTGGACAAAATGAAAGAGATATAGTGAAGGAGGGTGTTTGGGCGAGTTAAATGGCGGTGGCGAATAATGGTTCGGTATCTGATGGATCTTACTACGATAGCCGTTTTCAGAGGAAGAAGAACTGAATTTGAATGAGGGAAGATGAGAATAGAATTAGGTTTGAAAGGATGTAAACAGTCATAATCCTTGTGAAATACGACGTCGTTCACCCTTTATGCTTTCATTTTTTATTTCTTTTAATATGAATAATTGGAAATTGAAAATTAAATATCATGGTGTTGTGTTATTTGGACCAAGATCCGTTGGGCTTGCTACCTGCACTCCCTCGTAGGCCCAAAGACTTTTTTTTGTAACAGGAAGATGGCTTTACCAAAAAAAGGGAGAGCTTCATGGATTGGGCCTAGCACCAAAGTCCTGAATTACTGAGCTTACCACCCGAATTCCAGCATACACCCCCTCTGTATCAATTTTAGCTTCACCTTCTTATGATTTTCATGATAAAAATGATATACAAAAATAGTAGCATATTTTTAGAATTCTCTAGAACTTTTCTTTAGAATTTTATTAAAATTTTCTATTATTTTATGTTTAACAATCGTTTTCGTTATCATTTTTTTTAGTAAAAATTTTGTGATAGAATGTTGATATAACTTTCGCGATATGGAATGCTTGGAGGCTAATTCTTTGATTATTCATGCGGAGCAACTTCCGTAGAGTTTTCCTATCACTAGCGTGGCTTTGAAGAGGCAACGGACCTTCTCCGTTTGGTATCATCGCGACCTCAATTTATCCCTTATTTCCGCACTTTATCACGTTTCTTTACCACTTTCTAGAGATCATGAGAAGTAAGGGCTTTACCGCAAACCATATGCATGCTAACATTAGGTAGACGTTTCCCTCTCAATCATCCTTGACTTAGGTCTAACAACGCATGATAAAATTAGGTTTAGAAATAAGCTAGTCTTCCTGTGACTTTTCTTCCCCGTTTGCATTCGCACTAAAACAAAAAAAAACATCTTTTTCTTTCAAAATTCAAGACACTTTAAAACTACTGATGAGGATCACGCCTTTGCTTAGTATGGGAAATGATAAGCGGGTTTCTTCTCGATCTTATTACTCTTCATCTCAAGTATAAGTGTGGTTCAATTCTCAAAGACTCATTTCACAGGTAAGTAGATAAATGGCTAACATCTCTCTCTTGAGGTCAACTAGCTATTATCTACAAGAAAAAACATCAACAAATATAAACTCTTTTTGCCTTCGGGCCTTTCTTTCAAAACCTTTTCAAAAGAACATGTTAATTCACTTCTGTGCTGACGCGTAAGTCTCCAAAGGTCGAGTTGCGGCAGAAGGCGAAATTAATATCATTCATTACAAACACAAACAAAATTCAAACTTTTTTGCGCCCAAGCACATTTTCTCCAAATCTTTTTCAAGAGAGCATGTTAATTCACTTCTGTGCTGACGCGTAAGTCTCCGAAGGTCGAGTTTCGGCAAAAGGCAAAATTAATACTGTTCATTAAAAAATACAAACCAACAAAAACATATGAGCCGAACTACGGTTGCTCTGATTCCTTTAAAGGGATACATAGGCATCGGGGTAGGGCTCGAACGAGCACAATTTTATTTTCTCTACATTCTTTTCCCCTTTCTTTTGCATGCATTCTCCCCTTAGCAATAATAAACAGTAAGCATAGATTAAAAACACCCATAAGATAGATAACAAGAGTAGATACCGTAGAGTACTACAGGCGTGTGGGGTGCTAATACCTTCCCCTCGCGTAACAGACTCCCTTATTCGATCTCTCGGTCGCAAGACCGTGACTTCTCTCTTCTCAGGTTTTCTCTATGTTTACCTTTCCCTACATGTGGGATAAAAGACTTTTGATGGCGACTTCATTGTTTGATGATTTTCAGCCGGTTGTTTCAACAGGGTGTGGAGAATTGTCATTGTCCATAGTAGTAAGTGTTGTAACACTTCCAGAAAATGTTTGCTTGATTGTATGTGACCCTTTGTTGGAATTCATGTTCAATGCCCCAAGTGATTCATATGGAGATCTGCCTCTGGCTATTCAGCCCTTTTGAGAGATTCCTTGAATCTTGACCTGACTGCCCCAAATCAGTTAGACACCATGTTATGCCCCTTGATTATTAAAGGTTTGCTATTGGAAGTGTCTTTCTGTTTGAAGTGATTATGTTCATTAAGAGGATTTTCATTCATTTAATATTCATCGTGCAAATTTCTCTGTTGTCAAACAATTAGTTATATGCAAACAGTGGTATTAAAAATGCAAAGCTTATGTCTGTCTTGAAGTTTGAAAATGCATTTTTAGTAAAAACATAATTTTGTAAGAATATGAATTCAACTCAGGATCTATAGTAAGCCTTATAGGTGTCAGGTTTCCTTTTCTAACAGTATGCTTTAGAACTAACATATGCTTCAGTTAGGACTTTTAAGGGTTGTAACATGGCCTGGTTCACGATTTAAGAAACAGAGGATAAAGGCTCAAACTTTATTTGTATCCAACTCGTTCTCCGTGATATTCTTCAGCTCTATATTCAGTTAATTATGCGTTTAGATTCCAATTAAGTCTAGAATGATATTTTGGTGATGGTTCGGATACTGGAAGTTTATTTGAGAAGGCAGTCATTTTTTCTTGTAACATCTGTCTTTTGTTAAGGATTTGTAGTGGACTCTTTTTGACTTTATTATCCCTAACTTTTGACTGACTATTCTGTTTGAGATTATAGTCAACAGGATGCCCCAATTTTCCTAAGTCTCCTTCATAAGTTTTAACTTAGCAGGATTTTCTTTTGAAAGATAATGACTGCCTGACTTAATGATTACAGAGAACCATCATCGAATTTTGATTTAGAAAGATGTCTTCGGTATTACCTGTTGTGTATGAAGGAAAAGCTTGCAATTGAATGCACACTGAATTAACTGAGAAACTACCCTACCCCAGGTGTGATGCGGTGGGAGAACTGACTTGAGGTTTTGCGTTTGTGTTTGCAAATGTTGCGGTTTAGCAAGAGTCGCCACCGACTTTTATTTTATCCAAAAGGAAAGGTAAAAAAGCACAGGAAAGACCTTTGAGATTGTTTTTGGGTTCGGGGGGTAGATTATGAAAAGGGAAGGTGCTAGCACCCTTTTCATCCATGGTTTTCCATGGGCTCTTAGTTACTTGTTTTATGTCACTTGCTTTGCTTTTGAAATTGTTTGAAATGGTGCTTTGTGTGGTTTTGAAAGTATTTTGAAAAGAGGCCATCGTTTAGGCAATCTTTGTAATGATTCTCGTTCGTAAGAATGTGTAAAAAGATGTTTGTCTTTTGAAAAATGTTTCAATGTTTTGAAAGTTTGTTTGGAAATGTTTTGAAATGTGTGTGTTTGTTTGAAAATAGCAAGGATTGTTTTTTGAAATGATCAAGTAACTAGAAGCTTATCTACCTACTCAAAAGTCTTTCTTGTACATTTTTATTCCTTTGATGTTGTTGACCTACCATTGTTTTGGTAGACAAACCTATCTTTGGATGTTAAACGGGACGGGCGTGGGTCATCGTATGACCATGATAGCAATAGTGCCAAGTATCTTAGCAAGTTTTAGGGACTAAGATCATTTGTTTTTAGGCAACCTTTTGATAGCGTCATCGAGGGACTATGATCTTTTGTTTTGTTTTGTTTTGTTTTGCCAAGATACCTAGCATGCATACCATGACCATTTTGTTTAGGCAACCAAGTGAGTGAAACCCTAGAGGTGTTGTGTGCAATGTGTTGTCATTTTTCATGCATTTTTGTCTTGCATTAGGTCATGCTATTTTGTTTGATTTTGTCTTAGCATACAAACCCTAGTTTTTACTAAACATGCATATAATGCGATAAATTGCATAAAGTAAATCTAAGCTATTACAACAATATTATGGGAGGGGGGATACAAGTTTTGAATGGGGATATTTGCACAAAATAAAACCCTAATTCACTATTACAACCCAATTGAATTTATTGTACAATAAATAATAAACAATTATTTAAATATGCAATAAAAAGGTATTTATGGAAAAATGTTTTGTAATTATTTTATGTAAAATAAAAATAAATTATCTAAGTCCTAAAAATAAGAAAAAATAATGATATTATTTTTGAAAGGGGAAACCCTAATTTTGTTTTAAAAGAAAATATTGTTTTCTATATTATTTATTTTTACTCATTTTGTACAAGAAAAATAATAATAATATTATGTACAAATATTAAAAATTAAAATATGCATGGAAATAATATTTTATGTATATGAATAATAAAATAAAATGTATAGTATTTATTTAAATATATTCACAATTTATTTAAGAAAATAAAGTATATTTATTTGAATAATCAATATTTTATGCAAAAAATAAAATAAAATGCAAAAAATTAAGAAAATATTTTTGGGATTTTTTAATGTTCAGAAAAAAATATTAAAGTCAATAAACATAAAAGAAATGAAAAAATATGCAAAATATAAAAAAAAAATGCAAGGGGGGGGGGGGGGGGGGGAGGGTACAAATGGTAAACTGGGGGGGGGGGTGCAAAAAGTCAGAAAAACAAGGCCCAGGTGCGCCAAGCCCAGCCAAGTCGTCCCTGTCCTCCAGCTCCTCTCAAACGCGTGCATCTGTGTACAA